GCTTCTACTTTTCATTTAAAATAAGTTTCCATTCTCAGCAGGTTTCTAAGGTTCTTCTTCTACATATTAAAAAAGTTGTTAACTGAATGGCACACTACTGCTACTAGTGGTGAGAAAGTGTATTGCACCTTATTCAAAATCAATGTGGTCCCACGGCCCTCTGCGGCCCAAAGTTAAAAACTGTTGTTCTTTTGGGGCCCTCAAGGTGGCGGTTGCGGCCCACAATTGGGCCGCGGCCCATGGGTTAAGAATCTCTGCTCTAAGAGACCTCTAGCAGAACCAAACGAATGTAGCCATCTGCCTTGACTGACGGGGGTTGAAGAGACTGGGGGCGACATAARTATTACCTTATCATAAACTTAATAGTAGAACACTACACCTAGACTTAAACTAATAGGCTACATCTTGAAATTCAGGGACRGATCATCTCTTATTACAATGCAATATTTTAATGAAAAACAATGGGTGCTCACATTTATGATGTTTTCACTTAACTTTAATAACGCCTACTTAAATGCAGAGGTATATAAAGCATTTGAAAGAAATAACTAAGTAAATGTAAAAAAAAAACACAACTGAAAATGACTGGTAAAAAGATTTTCACTGAGGAGAAAAGTACTTAAGTAAAGGTAATAAAACTGCTAATTTAATCCTGTTTCATTAAAGACTGGGCGGCGTTTTTTCCTTTACATTTGACAGAAATCTGTCCTGGCCATGTTAAAAATGACTGAAATCTGTTGTGGCCATGGAGACCTTTAAGCCCTGCCTTTAAACTCAGTGCATCTTCAGAAGACAAGTTGATAAAAATTAATTTTAAAAATCTGTATTGTTCGATACATTGTACGTATTGAACCTAGAGCACTGTATTGAACAGTTCAGTACAGATGCACATATTGTTGCACCCCTAGTGAATGGATATRAAAGGTAATTTATGTGAGACTTTTAAAGGTTAATAAAAACTGAATGCAATGATCCGCACATCTTGCAAATAATATCTTTTTCATAATGGAATGAAGTTAACATGACAGATATTTAAAACACATCTATATGTAAAGCATGTGTTGTTTTAAAACCTGTATACATTGTTCTGCATTGAGAGAGCCTTTCTAGGTGTGCAATCAAACCATGCCGCATGCAAGTTGTATGTTGTACTTGCACGGGCACATGCAAGTTGTGAGTCTTTCTGTGAGATTCACAGTTTGAAATCTTCTAATTAAACAGTATTAACTCTAACAGACAAACATTTGTTTACCTCATATTAAAGCAAGCACAAGTCTCTGCCCCCCCACGCGCGTCCAGAGCATGTGTGTGTGTGTGTGTGTRTATATATATATATATATATATATTAAAGGTGCAACAATACATGTACCCGTATCGAACCATATCGAACAGTGCTTTAGGTTCAATACACACTTGTATCGAACAATACAGATTTTTAAAATTTACTTTATCAACTTGTCTTCTGAAGATGCTCAGTGTTGAAGGATCAGTGGATCTGTGTTCGACTACTCCACCTAGGCTGCATTTTTGAGCACAGGTCCACTGAGAAACTTGCTGTTTCAGCAACATTTAATTTAAAAACTGTACTTTTGAGGTTAAACAAACGTTCATAATTAATTTAAATAAATTACAAGTTAAAAGGGGCATGGACATGTCTCTTTTTTTGTATCGAAAAAATATCGAACCGTGAGACCAAAGTATCAAACTGAACCGAATCGTGAATTTTCTGTTTTGTCGCACTCCTACTATTCGTGTAAACCTTTTTGTATGTGTTCACACAGACAGCAGAGGTGGCTCTGGCTAACCTGAAGAGTAAGTATGAGGCAGAGAAATCCATGGTGACCGACACCATGATGAAGCTGAGAAATGAGCTAAAAGCCCTAAAAGAAGACGCTGCTACCTTCTCCTCTCTGCGAGCCATGTTTGCCACCAGGTCAGTGACAAAACAAAGTGTATAGGTTTTTAGATTAATAACTTCTTTGCAGTCCCTGCTTTCTTTGACCAAATGAATAATAATAATAATAATAATAATAATAATAATTCTAATAATAATCTGTGATGGACTTGCGACCTGTCCAGTGTGTTCCTCTAAGTTTGGCATTTCATAAGAGAGGTCGATGTGATCTGGCGTTATTTAAATTAAAATGATACATGCTGTGAAATTCTTGTGTGTGGGTGGGCTTGGATAAAGATATGGGAAATGCTGAAAACATAAAACAAACTATAAATATGCAATGCTTTTAATTTAGAACAATATAGAACATACAACTAAACCATTTATTTTTTAATTACACATGCAATTTTAATTTTCATTTCATTACCTGCATGTCAGGTTTTTCATCAGCGAAATGGAGGAAGACTATGTTGGATAATCTGAACGTGACAAATCAGATTTTTTTCCCCCCAAAACAACTCAGTTTTTTTCAGTTTGTGGTACTGAATCAGATACTTATCAGATGTTTTACAGAGCGACCTCTGTCTGAACATTCGTGTCTGATAGATCCACTAACCTCGAGTCATGCTGTTTAAATCTTTATAGCTCCACATGTCTTCATGCTACAGAGCAGACGCACAGTTGCTTCATCTATTTTTTTCTTTTAATTTTCCATGTCCTGGATGACGGTCGCCGATCATATCAATGCTAAATTTACTCGATTGACACTTAAATTTAAACACAACGCTTCGTTCCAAAAACAAAAATGCTGCACCGGAGCAACCTGTCCGAGGCAGGTTCAGATAGAAACACTGAACTAAACAAGCTTGTCAGATAGAATCGACATGCTAACAAGTTGTTAGCATGTTTATTCTACTGCTAATTTTGCTGTATTTATTATATCCTCCAATAGGCTGAATCCGTTCCTGCTGAAGGTATATTTGGCACAACTTTGCACATCCAATCGCGTACAACTTGATGTATTTATTGTTAATCATGTGTTTCTGGTGTGAATAATAATTATTGTCACATCATTAAGAGTTTCCCAGAATTAWCTCTAAGTGTCACTAATGGAAGCAGAACTACAGAAATGTGCGTACGCCAGCCTTGGCATTGGCGTGGGGCTGCTCACATTTCCACGTTCAATATAGTCTTGGTACATCTGGAGTTTTGCGTGGAAAAGGGCGTATGCAAGGTTTTTTGTGTATATGCACTGTTATACATGAGGGCCCTGGGCATGCTTTAAACTTGTATCAGTTCCACCAGTTTTGACAGGAGGAATGAGACAAAATCCAGCGAACCATATATGAGGAGCTATTTGAACAAAGTCATTCAGGCAACACTACCAGACTATTTAGAGCATTTCTTTAAACTTGATGCATCATTTTAAAAATAATTTCCTCATTATTTGAGCATTTAGTGAAATTAAACAATTTTAAGAATTTAAACGGCCTTCAAACAGCAAACWGTCTGATTTATGGCAGACAGTGAGCAAAAAAAGGTCCCGATGCATCACAATAATTCAGGTAGAAAACAAGGTTGTGGCCGGTCCTCTGGATGGGTTCTTCTTTGTTGAAACGTTTAGTCTTTTATCTGAAGGACTTCKTCAGTCTGAATAGTTGCATATATACTCAGCCTTCTAAGCAGTACCTTTGCACAGTGGATCAGTTTGTCAGGGACACCAAAACTCATATGCAAAATTAGGACCATCAGCCTAACAATCGACCGTTAGCGCCCTGATGGCCACTTGTTGAACAAATAAGGGTTATGTGTCTCCTCGTACAGTAAACCTTTTGTTTCTTCAGATGTGATGAGTATGTGACCCAGCTGGATGAGATGCAGAGGCAGCTAGCTGCAGCTGAGGATGAGAAGAAGACTCTGAATTCTCTCCTTCGTATGGCCATCCAACAGAAACTGGCTCTCACACAACGTCTGGAGGATTTGGCTTTTGATCAAGAGCAGACCAGCCGTGCCCGAGGGGGCAGGATTAGCCGTGGAAAGACCAGCACCCCTAAAATAAGTCCCTCAGCTTTGGCTTCATCGACCAATATACCACAAAGCTCAACTCCAGGTGTCTGTCTTCCTGGTGCCAGCCTCCCTAGTCCTACATCAGTACATTTTGTTGATCCTTCAACATCACACAAACCATCCCTTAGCCCATCCTCACCATTAGCCCCCTTGCTAACAGGGCCTCCTGCACCTGAGAGACCTCCCTCTCTGGAAGCCCCCTCCTCACCACCAATGCAGACCCCTCCATCTTCTTCCACAAAACAGACTCATTCCAAATGGACCATGGGATTACGGACATTTCTAGTTGACTCCCACAATTTCAAGGTCAACATGTCCCCTGCCCTGTCCCGTTGCTCAGCCCTCTCAAGGGTCTACACCTCGGATTCTCATGCCTCCCCCACATATACCACCAGATCCAACCAACCAGGATCTGCTCCCTGCTCCCCTTATCGCTCCCCTGTTCTGGGCCTAAGGCGCTCCACACGGAACTCCTCAGCCCGAACTCAGCCGCTGTCCAGCATGACCCACTCCTCAGCCCTTTACACAACTTCCTCATCTTCCCTTCACTCGTCCTCTTACTCTCCTTCTTACTCCCCCTCCCTTTCCCACACCTACTCTTCTGGCTTCTACAGCTCCTCTCCCACTTTTACCCCCTCTAGCTCCTACCTCAGTTCTGGCGTGTCCTCCTCCTACAGCCACTCGAGCCAGTACACACCCCTTTATCCCAGATACTATAGTCCATATCGGCCCCGAGAATGACTTTCGGCTGCAAGCCCTTTATGCCTTTTAAAGTCTTCTGCACTCAACTCCTTAGTGAAACAAAAACTGCAGCTTCCATTCTTCTTTTTGTAAACTGGGACAGAGGAGGCTCACAGAGAGGACGGTGTCATGGTTTTCTGTCTCCCACTTCCTGTTGTCCTTGTGCCTACACCTCGGCCAACTGGTTTTGAATGTACACTGACTTTCCTCAGGGATTTAATAAAAGGAGCACAAGTGGCCCTGCCTTTCTGTTCTTCTGAGACTTCTGACTGGTTYGCAGAAGGACAATAACAGACATTTTAAAGAGAGTTTTTAGCAGTTAGGTTCTTCAGGTCAAGACCACATGTGCATGATTAAACAGTCACTGAGTAAACACTTTGCATATACACGTTTCAAAAGTGTCTTGACACCTTAAACACCTTTCTCTGTAAAAATTATGTAATGTTTTCAATGGTAAGAGTCACTTTTATCAAACACTTTCACTTTCACTCTTAAGTGAAGAATATGGTTTTAATTAAGGGCCTTTTGGAGGGTTGATGACTGGCATAATTAAAATATAATTGAAGATTGTGCTTTGAATGAACAAGAAGAGATTTTCCTGGAAGGTCTTAATTTGTGTATGGTTCTTGGGTTTTTCCATTTCAAAATAAAACAAAAAAATAATGATCAGGTGTTATTTCAGTCTTAAAACTAAATTACAGAAACAWTTGCAACTAGAATAGTTCCTGGAGAAACTATGAAAGGRCTTGCCAYGTGCTGTTCAAAAACAGCTCRAGCACAAGTTTGCTGAGCTAAGCAGAAAGAAGCTGAAATAGCCACCAAAATGTGAATTTAGCTTAAAAACCCAAAATTTAGTTAATGACAGCTAAACATTAGCTAAAATTGCTACAAATAACAATATAGAAGAAAGCAACTGTAAGAAGTAGAAATAGCTCAAATTAGCAGGAGGAAGCACAAAAAGTATATAAAAAAGAAAAAAGCAGAATAACAGAAATRARCAGAACTGTAGCTAAAATAGCAAATAAAATTAAAAATTAGCGATGAAGTTAACATGAGCACAAAGAAGATAGAAAAAGCAGAACCATAACAAAAGGTTTAAAATGCACTAAGGATTTATTTGAAGAGTTTTAGAGATATTGAAAACAGCTCTATTAATTTTCAATGACAAAAAGTGGCTGAAATAGCTTTGGTAGCCATCTTGGATTTTTTTTTTTTCAGCTCCAGTATGTGACTGAGCTTGCTCTCAGCTAAAAATGTACCAATTTTTAGCTCAATGGCTGTGTTTCAATTCATGGGCTGCGTCCTCATGAGTGCGCATTAGTATACGTCACTGCCCTGTGTCGAGGACTGTCCCAATTCGAAGGCTCCTCCTCCTGCGGCAGAGAAATTTGGCCCACAAAATCTCGAAATCCGAGGATGCRTTTGTGTATCCTCACCGATAACCCAGGATTCAAACAGAGAAACAAAGACAGTGGAGTTTTTATTTTTTTTAATGAGTCAGCATGGTTTAGGAATTCATCACGGAGCAAAGAATTTGTTTGTAAAAGTAAGATTAGCAACTTAGCTGATGAAATTTATGCTGCAATAAGAAAGAAATGCAACTACAAGTACTGATACTAGAGCTGAAGCCGAATTGTTTTTTATTTATTTACATGTAACATTTTACTTGTGAAGTTATTCTTCCAGTAAAAAAGACGTGTAAATACATGCCCCAACGCATTTTAAGTCCGATATGAAACTGATCACTATGGTAATGGGGGGAGGGCATGGTCACGCAAAYGTACGTCAAGCCGACGTCAAGAGAAGGCTTGACAGTCTCATTTCACAGAAGTTAGCAGCCTAACCGGCCCGGGGAGAATGTGGCCCATGTGGCCCAGCTGGGCTACATGCTCATGAGGATCCAGCCAATGAATTGAGACTCAGCCAATATATCAAACACTGGCTGAGATAAAGCCATTTGAATCTAGCCTTGGTGGCCATCTTGGATTTTATTTGGCTAATATTTGTAATAGAGTTCACTCTCAGCTACTAGTGGTATCAGTTTTTAACTGGTTAAATTGAAAATTGGCTGAAATGSTAAATGGACTGTACTTATRTAGTGCCTTTCTATCCAACCACGATACTCAAAGTGCTTCACACTACAATTTGTGTCCTCATTTACCCATACACACAGCACTCTACAAAGCTCTCTTTACCCGAGTGTCCAAAACATGCGGCCACAGATCAGATGAAATGACAACAAAGTTGATCATCGAACGAGGGTGTCCTGGTGCCAAGAGCACATATAGACACCCTGATGCTTGAACATGGTGTTTGTTATGGACAATCCATGACGAGCACAGAAGTCTGTTAACAAAACACCACTCGGGTATCTCCCAACCACACCCCTCCAGGTCTCGCTGTCATTGCCCATGWGAGCGTTGAAGTCCCCCAGCAGAACAAGGGAGTCCCCATTAGGAGCGCTTGCCAGCACCCCTTGTTCGGGCCGCATTAAGGTACGACTACAAAAAGATATAAAGATATAAAGTTAAGTCCTATTACCACTGGACAAGCATTAACTGTGACCTCTTGTAATAAATAAATTATTCCCCGATGTCTGTTTTTTTATGTGGCATATTTGCATGGTATAACGGAATGCTGAAATTTTGCTGAAATTTACAAACATCTCTTGGATATGATCATGAAGCCTGGTTAGTTTATGCATTGAACATGGCAAGAGGGTGCATGCGCTAAAAGTCACACAATTGCGCCATCCCCCGCCCCTCCGGTTCCGCCTTGCGCAGTTGTGCCCCAGTCATGGACCTCAGGATTTAACTCTGCAAAGGTTGCACACACCGGACACCATTCAGTTTGTTTGTTTGTCAAGCTTTTATTTACTCTGTCTTATTTACAACACTTCCTAAGTTATAAAGTGTTCTGCCACGTGTTTTTTTGGAGAATACTACAACAAAGTAAGCACCAAGTATAAACACCTAYAACGCGAGTGTACACGTGGGCCTTGCACGAGTGCCCAAAGCACAACTGCATCTGAGCCACGCTGCGCTACGGCCACAGCTCGGCACTGTGTTACTGCCGGCATCAGCCAGAAGGCTACAAATGGAAAAAAAAAATTCTTGCTGCACAGTGAGCCACAATTAGTGTCTGATTTTGCTCCTTCTCTTCAGCCTCTTATTTTTGATGCTGCACGCTACTGGTTGGTAGGGTTTTGCTGACCTGGGACCCAAAAGGTTTTTAATGCACTCTAATCCAACCTCCATTCTTCACCAAAATCAAGTAATGCACATAGAAAATGAAAACCACCTAATTACATATCGGATTCAGCCCATGCCTGTCCAAATCACAGGAGATGCTTATTGCATGCAATGGATTATACTGTGTTCACACCGAACACAATTTGAGCATTAGGGGTGTCAGGTTTAACGTCTATAGTGGATGCACATCAAGGGGCGTCAGGAAGTGTGCGTTTTGAGCGTTTGACACAAGTTATGCGTCGAACGCTGGAGATGGAAAATCTGAACTTCAACAGCTCGACGCGCAGCATTAACCAATCAGAGACTCCACTGTGACGTGGTGGCACATTTTCCGACATGACAGTTTCCTGAATGATGTCCACTAACCTGAGACAGATGGACAGGAGCTCTTCAGTGGAAATCAAGTGCCTTAAGTCAGTGTCCTGGCAGGAGATGCGAGCACCAATGCGGGTCAGAGGCTCATCAAACTGGGCTCAGGTCAAAAATAAGAGCTGAAAGCGAGCCTTGTCAGCTTGCAGCTCCTGGAGTGGTGAAACTCACAAACTCAGAACGCCTCTGAATTATCTGGTGAATTAATTATATGGTGAGTGTGACGTGCGCTTGCTCTCAGTAAATAAAGCAAAGCCACTTTCTTTTCTTCATCCACCATTAAACAGAGAACAGCAGAAGAGGAAGAGGTTCTTGAGCAATTTTTACGAGCCTCTGAACTTAAAGTGCTCAAGCATCCAAGTTGAGGTGTTGGACATGTGTTTGACAGCATTAGTAGGACCTTGGATTTCAACAAAATACAGTAGATTAYAWAGTATAGTAATTGSCTAGGGAATTTTTACWTTACAAATGACCGACATGGCTGATTCGCACAGAATGAACAACACAGACAATGTCTTCAGTTGTTACAAATAGCATGTGGTCCCWAGGTAAAATTAATTCCATCAGAAAAGGAGATCCTTTTTCYTGAACTGGATARCAATAGGTGCCACCATTCAACTGAATGGAGGCAGAAAAAGACAAAAGGTTATGTTTATATTTCTCATTTTAATGGTTAAAGCAGAGACAAGTTTATATTTTGTTATTGCACTATTTGGGATCTTCTGTCAGAACTGGAAATCATAGTCTAAAGTAGGCTTGGGCAGTGTGAAGGTGTTTTATTATACCGCTGTATCAAAATATGGTGATGGTATTTGTCAAAATTTCCCCAAGGAGGTTTTGAAAACTGGGACAACCCTTCTAGGCTCTTTCAGAAAAAGCCCCATAATGATGCATTTTCAAACCACCTCAGCTCATTTAGAAGACAAATAAATGAGTGAGTATTGGAGGCAGCGACACCCCAATTTGTCGCATCTCTTAAAAAATATAACTTTTTTCTGYATATCTTTGGCTACATGCATGTAAATGCTCACAAGCAGTCCGTTTCTTCRTTAATTATTATTAATTACTTAAACCCGCCCCCCAATACCAGTAATACCATACATCGCAAACAAACACTGCAGTATGTCCTGATGCATCTCAGTAATCCAGGTAAAAAATCAAAAGGAAAAAAAAATTGTATAGGTCTTCTGGACGGGTTCTTCTCTAATGAAACGTTTCGTCTCTCCTCCAAGAGACTTCTTCAGTCTGAGAGTTTCAGGCWAAATTCAGGCTTTTAARYCCTGCCTCCATGTGACTGATACTCACATCACATGGCTATCGTTGACACCTAATTAACACCTATTGTTAACAGGGGGTGGAGTGATACTGGCAATGGCAGCACTGGAGGAGGGAGACAACTGAAAACGGAGGCCTCCACCTCTGTTTAATGATGGACGGTCTTTCTTCACAAAAATGGCTTCTTTTACTCCTCTCTCAAACCAACGTTCCTCTCTATCAAGAATGAGAACATCCTCATCTCTGAAAGAGTGACCGCTGGCCTGTAAATGAGTGAAAACTGCAGAGTTCTGGCCATTAGACGTAGCTCGTCTGTGTTGGGACATTCTTTTGAACAGTGGCTGCTTT